TAGAGGTCATTAGTGCGTTTGTCACCCTGCAGTTATTGAGGTTTTTATTTTTATTTTTTTTAAACCAAATCAGCTGATGACACGTTTAGCCTTTAAGGAGCATTGTGTCGTCTTGAAGTTTATCCAAAAGAACATGGCGTGCGGTTTGTTTTATTTGTCTTTAAAAGAGAGTTTTACATGGAGGTGCACGCATATACACACACACACACACACACACGCAGAGTAAACCTGCACATATGTTTACTGTACTGCGTGAGACATTCCATCTCCGGTCGGTGAGCTCCACAGCCCAGAGGAATGAGCACAGCACCGACGGTCGGAGGGGATCACGCTGCTCAATGATTAGCAACAGTCCCCTGGCAGTCCTGTGCCTTTCTGTGGTAAACACAGCATTTAGAGCAATTAAGCTAAAAATTTGACAGCGTCAACCTTTGCACTTTGCCCACAGTTCTGCTTTTTTTTTTTTTTTTTTTTTAACTCTCTCTGGTTATTTCCTCTCACAGCACATCTTGCTGTCAAAACGTTTATAAAAGCAGCTGAAATGTAGAAAATACAAGGAGTGCAAAATGACAGTTTCACACAGAGGCATGCCGTGTATGTAAATGGCCATGGTATCACATTGCTAAAAATAAATGTTTATTCTTCTTATTCCCCTTCCACTCACCGTCTGTGGCTTTTATGAGAGGGTGGCCTGCCAAGTAGGAGCGAGGGCAGAGGACAGTGGCTCCAAAGTCACACGAAAGTTTGTACTCCTTTGTACTCCTGGAAACTTGATGTTTTGTCACATTATATGAGCAAACTTTGATGCATTTTTTTTTTTGTTTTGCAACTTTTTGATTTTATGCAACAGATCCTCACAAAGAGGCATGCATTCATGAAATGGAAGCGATTGCATCAACGGTGGTGGTGTGATTATATGTTCAACCACTTTTTTTGATCCATAAAATCCAGTCCAAGCAGTTGAAATGAATTCATTTCAGTATGAATGCGAGTGTTCTTCACAGGATAGCTGGAAAACATTAGTGCAGTTCATGAATACTAACGCAAGAGCTTCAGGGAAAAAGCTTGGGTTTGGTTATGCTGAACTTGGGATATCTCAAACTAGATTATTCTTATCGCTACTTCAACTGTAAATCTACCAAGACAAAGAGAGCATTAATCAGAAAAGGTGCCGACAGGCCCGTGGCAACAATGGCAGTGCTGCAGCTCATGAGGGAAACTCTGCTGACAAGACAAGCCGTTAAATGTGAACAGTTGTGCCAATAGATTGGTTCACTTTTGTTTTTTGCCACTGGCCAAAACATAGGAGGTAGAAAAATGTGGGGAAAAGGTGCACTGGTCATATGGGGACAAAATAAAACTTCTAGTGTTCATGAATAAACTTGTGTGGCAGAAAACAGTTGCTGAGTTTCCAGTGACGAGATACCTGCACAAACTGGAATTACAAATATAAAGTCAGCTCCTCTTTTTTTATACAGTTTTTGCATACAGGATGAGGTGGTTTTTGCTGTATTGAAATTGGTGTTTTTATTAACAAACCTGCAATGGAAACACTTTTTGTATCACGAGTCATGTGATCAACAACCGGCTGTTACTACTGGAGCAAAAGCAAAGAAGACAGGAAGGGACGGGAGGAGGACGATGCAGCATGTGTGTTTTTTTTTTTTTAATGACTTGTTGCTTGAACAAACAATCCTGTGGGATTTTAATCGTTTCTTGTATAACTGCAAAACTGTTTTTCCAACATTAGCGGAATATCAAAGTTTGCAAAAAGTCAAAACGCAGAGACTGAACGCCATTCCCAACACGCAACCGAAGGAAATTGAGTGGCGGTAACGTCATGCTGTGGGCGGAGCTTATTAGCAGAAAACTTGAGAAACTGTTAGCCGTTTATGGGAAGACAGTCAGGCTGTAACGATTCCTCGAATGAGTCGAGTACCTGGATTTTTAAAATTCCCACGAGGAAAAAGCGTCTGCCTCAAACCTTCGTCAAGTTATGCTTTATTATTTAGCACACAGCTTTCCGGACGGATCGTTATTTGTGTTGGGCAGCGCGCTCACTTCTCACTTCCACCTATGAGTTGTTGCAAAGGGCCAGCGGAATAATGGCAAATTTTCTTGGGGTTTTTAATCGTTTTTTTGGATGGAGAAGGAACAAATAAACTTTTGTAAACTGATTGGTGCAATGAATGAAGTATGTCTTCCTGGAACAAAGAGTGCTGCAACTCAGAAAGAGACGGATTTTCTTTCCAGAGAACTCGAATCGTAAGATTCGATAGAGTACTTATTACTAAAATATTTGTTAACAGCCATAGAAGACAGATTCAGCTAACCTGGAAAACCATTAAAAGGTTTGCAAACATTCACCTTCCAGCCAAGCAATGACACTGAACACATAGCAAGAGCTCAAAGGGACTCATGAGTTAGAATGACCTAGTCAAAGTCAAAAATCCAAGTTAAACTGATATTCGCAGTTGCTCTCCATCCAAACTTAGCAAGCTGCTGTTATTTAGCAAAGAAAAAGAACGCGATCCTCCAGACGTCCAAAACTAACGCCATGCAACTGTAATCGCACTGAGGGGCGGTTCCACAAAAGTTACTCACTAAAGTGAAAATGATTACAAATGCAGGTCAGACTTTGACAGCTGTGTCCCTTTTCTTTTACCGTGCAATAAAGCTATACTTTATGTTGGTCTGTCGTATAAAATCCCATTAAACCATAGTTAGGAGATTACAGAATGTGGGAAAAGTTCAAGGGTTATGTTTCTGCAAGATTCTGCAGGTGTGGCAAAACGTTTTCTGAACCGCGAGCAAAAGTCTTGCTTTAACAACTCTGTTGTGAAGGAGTCTCGGGTTGAATTCCTGGTGCGGTGCCAGAAATATTGCAGCACTCGTCAATAAAGTCCCAAAACTCTAAATCCCAGCTCCACATTTCTACCATCTTCCAATTTTCTGCACCCAAGAAATACTCAGAAGGTTAACGGCAGAACGAGCACATTTAAAAACCTCTTACATTGATTTTACTTTTATCCACCATCATGAAAGGAAAGAAAAGAGAAAAAAAAACACTCAATGCTGGCACAAATTATTTCATTAAGCAGTTATTGTCAACACCCTAAATGGCTTTTCTTAGCCCTGAAGCTTCACTTAGTCCTCATAATGCACACACACAAAAAAAAAGTACTGCCAGTTAATCTGAACATTCATGGCACATGAGGAGTTTCTGTTCATGGAGGCTTTGTCCTCCATAAAGCTTTAGTGTCTTCAGCTGAGCACTCGAGCGGCCTTCTCGCAGACGGTCCTGGGTGAAATACGGACCTCACACAAACGCATACACCCATAAATCCCCAAAGCACACAAACGCAGCCGCCGAGTAATGTGACCCTCTGTATATCACAAGAACCAACAAGGCTCTAATGCTCACTAAGAGAAGAAAGCAAAGAGAAACACTTGAGTCTCATACAAAAAAAAAAAAGATTCTTCCCCCTATATTATATATATAAAAAACTGCCTAAACTCCATGTAGACATGCACGCTCACTTGTTTCCCCAACTCAGCTTTCTGCTGGCTGAGTCCCACATAGAAGTGAAGCCAGACTCCTACAGCATTTGAGATGTCTATAGAGCTGCAGTCCCTCAAGGACAGCTCTCTAAAAATCTGATTTCTAAGCAACTAAAAATAAATAAATAAAAAAAAAGCTGTTCAACACCTTCACAAAGCTAGCCTGAAAAAAGAAAGGAAGAAAAAAAAGGTAAATGTAAAAATCCACTTTTTGAGCTTCATATGTTACTCCATCAAAAACAGAGTTGCTTTGATTCATTCATGTTTGAATATCCTTGAATCCCTGTTGGCAGCCACTAAGGGGTGCCTAGACCTAAATGCATGCTCATAAAATGCACCGCCCATTTCCCCTCGGAGCACCCCCTCCCCCACACCCTCTCCACTCGGCTCCTTCAGACTAGCAGCAGCAGCGACTAGCAAACACCTGGTGGGACTGCACGAATCTACCGAGTTCAACGCTCCTAAGAACGGCTGTATACGGCATTATTGGGCGGCATGGAGAAGCATTGTTGGGATGACGTGTCGGAAAGGGTGGGAGGTTCTTAAAGAGACAGAGGTCAATTTCAGTGCATCAGATATGATAATGATGCAAAGGAAAACTTGTCTTCCTTTGCATATAAAGTGTTATAAAATGGTACAATGTGACTGGGAAACACACAACACCTTACTTTAACATTTAGATTCATAAACACAGTGCTATGCCATATTTCAAGAGGTTTTTTTTTTTGTTGATTTTGCAAATTTTGGCTTGCAGCAACTAAAGCTCAAAGTGTACGTTCTAGGAAATGCAGGTATTCCAGCCTGCAGTCCATACCGTAAAGTATTTGCACTTGGTGCTTCGTCGGAGGCTCCTTTTGCAAAAGTTACAATGCAACATGACATAAAGGTGACCATCGCGTGTAGTGAGAGGTTATGGAAGCCCAGCTCGCTTTAATTGTAGCCTTAAACTTCTCTGCATTGTTGGATCTGCTTCCTCTGTCATTTTCTTGACAATAGAGCAAAAAAATTCTGACTCCACCACCCAAAAAAAAAAAAGTAGAAACTTTTCAGTCTGTGGAAATTTGCACTTGATCTTAAGCAATTTGGATTCCATGCCTCTCCACTCTTCCTCCAAACATTTGTGACTTCTGCTCGGCTGCAGTGAACACCTTGCGAATATCCCCTGAACTCTAAAACAGGTTCTGCCTCACAATCAAGCAACGGGTCTCAACCTCCAGTCCTCAGGGGGACGTCGTCCTGTATCATACAGCGGCTTTTTGCTTCAAAACACAAGAATCTAGTTATTAGCAGGAACTTTTTCTGTGTTGAGGGGGAAAAAAAGAAAAAAGTTATTTGCCAAGCATATTCAGGTGTGGTGGACCAGGGCCATGTGAAAATCAGCTGTTGAGGAGTTTGATCTCGCTTTCTTAAAGCTACGGTTGCAAGCATCCTTGTGCGCCTTTTTTTGTTCTTCCATCTAACTTTATTACGCTCGAGTACATCACTCTACAAGCAGCGTGCTTCTTAGTGGCTTCTTTGGTGAACGACTGTCGATGCAGAAGCACTCTTCCCCCACGATTGTGTAGGTCACAAAACTCACAAAGAGAATAATGCTTCAGATATACCTCTCTTAATGAAGCCGAGTTTTACATGGGTTATTTCCTAACTCCTAATCGTCAACAACAACAACAACAACAAAAAAAAGCCTCAGTGAAAACCTTTTCAAATACCGTCACCAAGTTGTTTTTATCTCAATCAATCCATGCTGGTTCCAGACCTTTGAGGATGACCTCCAAGTCGTCCCGTAATATGTCGAACGTGCTGTATCTGGAGCTGGTCTCTGGGATGATGTTCTTTTTCAGCCATCCTCCACAGGCGTATTGATAGAAGTTGTCACAAGGATCCACCGTAGCATCCATGTTCTCAATGAGGCGAGACGCTGCGGGAAATCGAGAAGGCCAGCTTTAGGTTTATTGGGAGGGGGGAAAGAACGTCCTAAACAAGTATGAAATAGTTGAGCTGCAAGAAGCCCTGTCAAATTATGCAGATGAAATGCAGTTTAGTTCTGCTAGGGAGACTGTCAGGACTGTAATAAAATTTACAAAGAGAGAGCACTGGAAAGCAGGGAAATAAATTAGTGAACAACAAAGCAGCAGCAAAGACAGAAGAACATAATGAAGGTCTAGCTGATGAGAAAGAAACCTGAGAGTTGACAAGAGTAGCCATGCTTAATTTAATACAGGTGTGTGGCAAGATGTAGGTGTTCCAGACAATTGGCCTTTCAAAATAAAACAGGAAGTCTCCTCAATTAAGACAGTGAAAATCAAAAACTCCAAATTAAAACTCCTCACACGGGGAAAAAAAAAATGAATCGGTCCAACATCACAGGTCGAAACAAGTTCAACTTTTAATTAGGTCTTTTTCAACAGCTACCTACAGCCACCTGATTAAAGATGCTTCAATGTCACTAATTAATACTCTGGCATTCTGGGAAATATGTTTAGTCATCTTACACCAAAGTGTTCAAAGAGAAGATTAGCTCAGAACCTGTTGAAGGATGAAGGCTGCAGCTGATCAGCCGAATGCTGGAAACAGGAAAGCAGCTAAAACGCTCTGGTTAGAGAGATCTAATCCTCCTACAGAGCTAAAGGGCCAAAATGCTCACTTCAGATACAAACAAAACTTAATGTGTTTATTCCTCACTGAAAAGTGAGGTGGAATTGTTTAAGTTGGGGATAAACTGCTCAAATAATTTACTGAGGTTGTTTTGATTATTTTCACCGATTTAAATAAATAAAATATGCAGTGAGCACCCAGTAGCTTGCACCGAGTCAGACTACTTTTTTGCAAAGCTTGTTGCAAGGCAAGAGCTCTTTAGTAAAGCCGAGTCGTAGGTCTCATCATGCAAGTGGAAACGAAACTGTTCACATGTTTAACTAGAGAAATTGGGAAATATTTTCTTTTGTGGAGCACCTGCTTATAAAGCTTTGTAAGTTTGTCAAAAATATTTTCTGCCAAGAAATAATTGACAGGACCACAAAGAAATAAATTTAAATGGTTTTTTTCCTCCCCCCCTTCCCCTCTCCCCCCACTTTCCATTTAGGTACCGTTCCCAGACAAGTAAAATCTTAACATTAGCAGAGATTTGCAAAGATAAAACAGCATAGCGCCGGTAATTGGGTTTTGTTCAGGCACCAGCAGTAAAAATTTTTTCGTTTTTTTTTTTTTTTTTTTTTGGTTTTCCCAAGCAGCAATTAAATTACAGACGGCTGCTCACTCGGAGATCCCTTGTGACAAGGCTGTCTATCAAATCTGACTGAATTGGGACACCGACTCTGCAGAAATGCTGCCGAAATAAATTGGCATCTGTTGCTGAAAACTGGCACCAAAGATGTTCATCTCTTACTTATCGCTGTGGTTTTCATTTCCCTACCAAACACATTGTTCTCCCGCGCACAATGCGTGTCTGAGGAGGAGACACGGTGATGAAGCACTCCGTCGTCGTGGATACGATTGAAGGAAGCATAGGACGTGCCGCTTTATCAAATGAAATGCTGGGATAATGGCTGATATCGGCTACATTTGCACCAGTTGGACTGTGAGGATAAGAGGAAAAATATATATTTGACAAAGTTTCCCTTCTGCTCTGTTATGCAACGAAAGCCATAAGCTCTTCCCCTTCACCAGACACTATGTATATTTTATGTACATCTTTAAACATTTCTGACTTTTACCGAGCCTTTCCAATGGTTTTTGAACCATTGGTTTTCTGCTGGCTGACCCTCAGATCAAACATTTAGCAGGAAATTCTCTTTAATGATTTTCTGCCCGTCACAAAGTTATCCAGAGACTTACCACCATGTTTGGTTGATGAATTGGTGTTTACTGTTTTTTTTTGTTTTTTTTTTTGTTTTTTGAAAATGTTGTGCTGCTTTTACAGATGATAGAACAAGACAGACAAGTTCCGCCTTTGCTGCGTCAGTACACAAAATCTAAACTTTGTGGCATGGGGGCCAAAAAAATGTCAAGTTGAAATACACAAAACTTTTAGCGTATTTTCTTTTAAATTCTAAATTTATTTTACCTGCTAAATAAACAATGCTAACTAACAAAAAGACTAAATGAACACTTTCTTTTTCCCAATAAAATAAGCAAAGCAATCGGATTCATTTGACGAGGGAGCAGCAAATCAATGTAGTTGTAAAACAAAGGAAAAAAAAAAAAAGTCTTGCTAGTTTGACAGATGGAAAAAAAAGAAATTGTGTTGTAAATTTTTCAGACTGATCATTTGTTTCTCTAGGTTTATTTTGTGCATTTTCAGCAACAACAGAATGTGGCTTACTTTTGTTGTATTTTGCAAAGTTTATTTAATGGCAAAACGAGTCTGTATCTTAATGTAACGCGCTGGATATTTTTGCTCCCTAATAATATTTAAAGTATTAATCTTTAGCACATTAAATTGAATTTTTTTTGTATTTACCGTAATATTTTTTAAACATGGACCTGCATCCAATTGGTTATCGAGGATACAAATCATTTTAAACATGACATGTTTTTAACTAAATGTTAATAGCAGAAAGATGAATATTTTTGTCTAAACTTAATCTCATTGTGCATTAATTTATAGTTTTTTGAGATATGTCTGTTTCCTATAAGAAAAACTCCTTGGTTGAATGAACATTTCTATATGTAGTAGGACTGACCATATCTGTTTCATTGTGGTTTTGACTGAAAGAGAACATGTCTGAGTCGTAGAGGCCGTTTTCAGTGAGCACGTCTAAAATGCTTCTCCTGCAGGATCACTTCTCCCATGCCGGCTCCCTCTGGGAGAAGTCAAAGCCTTCAGGATGAAACAATAGAGAGAAAAAACAAACGAACACAAGCTGCTTACCTGACTGCGTGCAGTCAGCTGTGGTGCAGATTTCATCTGTAAGAGAACGTAAAACACATTTCCATTACTCGGTGGGTTTTTCAGCACTCAGTGGTGATTATACCTAAATCAGTTCCTTTTTCTGTTCTCTTCTTCTGCATTTCTTTTTATTAATCAATTTGTTGCACACATGTAACGCAAGTGTCGCTTTCTCTCTGTCAGAAATGTGTCAATAGGGTGAAACGCGGATGCACCGACACACCAGCCGATTACAATTTGACCTTTAATGCAGCGCTCTGTGGGTTATATGAGTGAGCGCACATAAAATGAACATAGTTGAGTGTAAATATGGCTACAAGCACAGCCAAGCCGCTCAGTGTTCATTTCCCTGACAAAGCAGCTTACACATTAATAAAGCACAAGACTGAAAAAAAATTAATAACGGCTCAACACGCCCACAAAAGCCAGACGAACTCCATCAGACTTAATTGGATGACCTTTTCTGTCAGGATTCTGCCATCATGACCTGCTGAACTTTGTCAATAATTAATCTATAGATCACCTGCTTGTGATAACTGATACTCAAACCCCATTTAAATGCTTATTTTAAAGCAGACGCATGAAGGCGTGAAAATCTAAGATCTGACAGTGAACTGAAAAATAAAGGGCTTTAGCCAATTTTCCATTTTTCTTAATGCACCATCCTTTTCTTGAAAAAAAATAAATCTTGGAAATGGGCAGTCTTAGAATCAAGCCTACATTTAGAAATTTGACAGTGTTTTTGAGTCATGAAAACCTTTTAAATGGGACCTTTGAACACACATGCATATTTTTCTTCTTTTTTTTAATTCTGTGCCAGAGACTGTATTGAAGCACAGTGGATAAAAGCACACAGAACAAGTGTCTTGTATCTGAGCAAAGGGCAGCTGTTCTGCATGCTCTTTTGTGCTTACCATTAACCATGAAGTGAAACCTAATGAATGTCCCTGACAAATCCTTTTGGCTAGATGATTCACTTGTTTTGCTGACACAGTTCTTGTCATTTGCGTTTGTTAAAGACAAGAAAAAATCCCCCAAAAAAACAAAAAAACAAAAAATGTATCAGTATCAGTGCTAAGCCTCAATTACAACACTCACCAGTCTTCTGGGTGGCAAACAGGATGACGAGGGCAACAATGACGATGAACAGCAGAGAGACGACAGTAATGAGGCCGATTTCCAGAGAGGTCCAATGGGGCTTCTTTGCCGATTTTGGGGTACTGGTCTCCGTCATGCTCAGGTCTCCTCTTTCACCAGCCGGCTGTAACAACTCACCTAAAGGGGAAAAAAAACATTAGTCAATTCATTAACACAGCTGTTCCAGTCTCAGCTTCCTGTCACTCTTACTGAATAAGGTCCTGTTTGCACCAGTTTTCTCTTGAACCATTTGCCATCAGTTTCCAAAAATCCAAAGACGCTCAACAGAAGGGCCTCAATGCCCCCAATAAACACCATGAGACCGTAACTAAATGGCGAGGTCACCATCACTGTGGGAAAACAAAATATGGATGGGAACAAAGACATGCGAGCACAAATTGGGTCTTCAGGGTGGATTTCCACTTGCAGACTGGGTGATATGTGGCCTAACCTCCATTTTGTAATCTCTCCAGAAGCCTTAAAATGCAGTTGCAACATCGACAGTCTCCCAACAGACGAAACGGATTTTTACAACTTTCCTGGTCGTTTGGAGAAAATGAGACAATGGAACGCATTGAGAAACTTCTCGACGGTTTGCATCACTGACCAAGAAAATAAGGGAAATGCAAACTTAGTCTTGGTTGTGTGACTGCGATGATTATAAAATGTTAACTTCCCAGATTTAAAAATGCAATCAATCCAAGAAGGTTATTTCTGACAGGAAACGAGACGGGTGTCTGAAAATATAATCACACTACGTGAAGGGAGTATCGGTTTTATTACACTAAACTCTTTAGACACTTCTCAATAATACATTTTTAAAAAAATCTCCATTTGCATTACAAGCATCAGACATTTCTTAGACTTGCTTACCATTCGTTTACTGGCATTGTAACAATTTATCCTAGATGGTGGGCTCCGGATCTATGAGGATGAAAGTCTACTTGCCATCCACAAATTCTCCATCAGATTACAATCTGAACTTCTACTGGACCAATCATCGCCTCCAGTCAGAATAAAGATGTTGGTGTAACTAAAAGTTTACTTGAATCCCAACTCTATTAAGGGTAAGAATATATTTGGGCTGTGAATCTATTGATGCATAAGACAAATATCTTCCTGGATAACATGATGCAAATTGCAACAATTAGCATAGAATATTCATTTTACAGGAATTTGGAACAATTATCACATCTCTGTTTTCAATAAAATCAAATATGCCACCGTATATATACTGCTCAAAAAAATAAAGGGAACATTTCACTTTAATTTTGTGTGTGGCTCCAAATCCAGGCCTCCATTGGTTAATACATTTGATTTCCATTGATGATTTTTGTGTGATTTTGTTGTCAGCACTTTCAACTTTGTACAGAACAAAGTATTCAATGAGAATATTTCATTCATTCAGATCTAGGATGTGTTATTTGAGTGTTCCCTTTATTTTTTTGATCAGTGTATATTTGTGTCTCAGTCAGTATGTGGAAACTGCGATGTAGTGAAATTGTTCTATTGCACTCAATGGTATACCATGCAAATTTTATACCACTCGGTGCCTGAATAAAAATGAAGTTCTGGTGCATGTTTTCGAAGAGTTGTCAACAGTGACCATCTAAACCAATGCTGAACTTATTTTCTTGGGAGATTTTTTGTGTCGTGTTTTGTTTGCTTGTTTTTTTTCCCCCCAGTGGAAACACTGGAAGCTATTCCAAAACAATGCATTTTAAACCTATCCATATATATATATATTTTTTTTTTTTAAGAAATGCCTTTGTTTCAGCTTGAGATACCGAATTTACCATAAGATTCCTCGTAGACTGCAGGATCCAGACCCTCCCTACTGAAAATGGAGAGTCTGGCTCCACAAAAAAAGGCTCTTCAAACCAATAAAACATGACACCTGGGGGCTCTTGAGGAATCATGATGAGGTGAACCGAGAATGAGTTGGTTTTTATTATAACAAAGTCAATGTCAGCCCATTAGTTCAGAAGCCAAAAAACTAAATGGGAGATTATTGAGATTTAGATAGGATTAAAAAGACATCCATAACTAATGCAACTTGAATGCTAAATCTAGGTTGTTGGGTTTTTTTTGCCCGTGTTATTTAAATATCCAAGTCTGTTATCAACATTTGATTTGATCAACTGCTTTCCTAACAAGAAACAAATACAGGAGAACATGTTTAACAGTTCAAAAGTGGACGCTTTTTCAAAGCCCGCCTTTGTTTTGACAGACAAAAATGTGGAAAGTCGAGATGAAGGACGAGCTGCAGTCATCATAAAAAGGACAAAAAGAGGAAAATAGAGCAAGAGGTGAGAACAGCTGAAGTTCTTACCCTCGCGGCTCTGCACTCCAGATCAAGAAACGGCAGGAGAAAGAGAGAAGGAGGGAAAAAATAAAAATAATAAGAAGCAGCAGACAAAAAAAGCCAGACTCTTCCACTGCTCCTTACAGTCAAGTGTTGTTTTCCTCTCAGGGGCCAGGAGAGAACTTAAAGTTCATGCAACAAGCACTTAAGTCTATCTGTGAAGGTCTGAAGGCAATTAATCCTTAATCCCTTAACAGCGCCTCATGAACCCGTGCACACAAACACGCATCCACAGCGCCATGCTCCGCCGCACTTTTTTACAAGCCAGTGCCATGAGGTGTCTGCGCAGATGGGTGGGTCTCAGTGTGAGCAGCCCAAGATGAGAACATCGCATGACCAAAGTCTCTTTTGCTCCCTCTGAAGGAACAGGCCCATCATTTAAGGCGCTCACGTACATTTATTACTGGAAAATATTTTCCTGCTGAGTGTCAAATTGCCCATCATTCCTCTGCATGACAAAACAATACACCGACGTAAAGTAAACTTCCCTGATTATGGTCATTATCCAACCACATTATCGCGCACGGTGACTTTTTTCTTCCCCCCCCCCGGGGCTCTGAAAGCACCCGTGATGACATCACCGCAGGTCACGAGATTTAGTACAGGGAGAGTGATGACTGAATGCAACTTTACAAACATAAGGTGAGGAAATGAAGTAGGACATATTGGAGAGATAAAAAAAAATAAAAAAAAACACACACACACAGTGATAAGACAGTGGGAGGACACAAGTTGACTTCCCGTCAGCTCTTCTGTGTCTGCAGGAGAGGGCAGGAAAAAAAACACACAAAAAAAAAAAACAATCCCAGATTTCAGTGACAGCGATCCCACAGCTCTAATAAAACTACGTGCATGTCAGCACTGGAGACTATACATGATCTTTACTCCCTCCAGTTCTGACACTGCCAAACAACTGAATGTCAATGGGGTTTATTAAAAAGGGAGAAGTGGCTAGGTTACACTCACTGGGCAGACCTGGCTTTTCAAGTCAGTGAAACTCATGCTACACATTGCAAAGCAATAAAACAGTCAGTTTTTTTGTTTTTTTTATTTCGCTTCATGACCTCATTGTTGTCATTGGATGAAACATGCCTTTACAACTTCTTCGCTCTGTGTACAGTGGAGTAAAAAAAAAAAAAAAAAGTATTTGTACTCTTAAAGGTTTCTTAGGCTGACACTGGATGGTTTCTGCTTAATGAGACGCTGCGGCGTTTTAAAAGGATCCAAGTCCAGATTTTGACTAGTTCAGTTCAAGCCCTTTGCTTCCTTCAAGGCGGTGGAGTTGCTAGTGATTTTCCGATCATTATTCTGGTGCAGAATTCAAGTGCTTTAAGCTTAAGGCCTTTAAACCAATGCTCAGACAATCTCCTTCAGGATTTTTTGAAGGAGGGAAGAAATTATGATTTCGTTCATTTCTTCCATTGTGTACCTGTTAATCAACCATCTTGTGGTGAGGTACTTAAATCATAGCATGTCAATTTTTTTTTTTTCCCCCCTTTTCTTTTTTTGGACCAGTTGAGTTTTATATGACGGATTGTGACCCCTTGATGAAACCAACTCTGTTGGTGACCTCGTGCTGATTGGATCATTTCTACTGAAATCATCTAACCAAATTTCCTTAGAGTAGGCGAAGCACACAATATAGAAAATTACTTCAAATCACCAGTCATAAAGAAAGGTACAAAATGTCCCAGAGGCAGGTAAGAATTGGTGCACGGGCAGAACGAAATGACCCGAGGCAAAAAACAACTTTTTTTTTTTTTAAATAAAGAAGTGACCCAAATTGGAGCAGTAGGAGGTAGCAAATTATAACCAGCACCTTCTCGCGGTTATTCTGGTACTGATGTACACGGTAGACATCGTCCGTCTGTCAAATCCATATTTATCAGAGAAAAGTCTGAAAAGACTGAGTGAATCCAGGAAGCCATGCTGGAGTCTGTGGTGAGCCTCACAAATATCACTGGGTCACCTTGGAACTGACCTCTTGATCGCCTAGTATGTTGCCTATAATGTTGCAAAGTTTTTGAAAAGCAAGCGTAGCAACCTGCAACCTTTCCAGTTAAGGGGCGAATCAAAACTAAGGACAAAAATTGCTTATTGTCAACTTACCGTCAACTATTGTATCTTGTTCATACCTGATGCTTCTTTAGGGATCAGAAACTGTCCCACTCAAAGTAAAGCTTCTGTTGTGCAACCTTTTAAGGTATTTATACAGCACATTTTCAGAAATTCAAAGTGCTTTACATTAATTAGAAGGAAATGCAACAAAAAACCAAAGGAAAGGGCAAAAGAAAAAAAGTATAACCCCATGTTTAAGAATAAGTAGCCCCTGATTTATAAATTAATAGGAGTTTCTCTGGATTCCAAGTTTGTTCCAAGTCCTGCTTTGAGTTTTACCATCATATAAGTGCATATCAATGATGTCTACGGATTTTTACTGCACTAGACAGAGAGAAAGGAGTATCTATGACTTTAAACTCAGAACTTGCAGTGTCCAGGTAAAGTCTGCACCTCTTTTTTTTTTAACTGTAGCTCTTTCAAACGAGGTTTGGCGTTTCATGACGGCTTCCGAAAAGGCAAGACTTAAAACTCTTGTTCTCCGCCACGTTCTCCGTCTCTCCGATATGATCCAGCTGAAACATTAACAGCCGTAGACCTCACAAACTACTTTGAAATTAAACCTATCATTCAGTAAGACATGACGCCAAACGTGTCTGCAAATCTGCAGGGCGAAGCCACTTTACTGCAAACTGCATGTGACTCCCTGAACACATGGTGCACCTAAATGAGTATCAGTAGAAACGTGGCCTACTTTGCATGAAGGTATAGCATAAAAAAAGAAAGAAAAGAAAAGAAAAGAAAGGAGTTCTCAGCTCAGGGCCTTTGGCTCCAAAAACAAAATCACTTCTGAGAGAAGAGACATGATGCCCAGAGGTGATGTGATCTAGATAAGTACACCTCCTAAATTGCTTTCCTGAATGCGAGTAAAAATAACTTTTAAAGGGATATTGCACCTAATGGTGCAAATAAAGTAATCGGAGAGGATGCACAGCTGGACCAACGCTTTCCAACTGGAGCCAATTTACTAAACTGTCAAAACTCCAGTGATAAAAATATCCAGCATACGCGGCGCGCACACCAAATGCGTGCCAGCGTCTCATCTCCTGTTGCACGTTGTGAACTCCGAGGGGGAGAGGGTGTCATAATCAACTGGTGCACGCTGCCCCGTGTTACCCATAAATAAATGAATAAATAAATAAATAAAAATCTCATCTACGCGCACGCACTCGCACACATGAACACGCCAATCAACGCAGATGGCGCCGCGTCGCGAGTCCGGCTCGGGCTGCATGTGGCGACTTACCAGATATGTCAGGAAATTTTCGGTCGATGATATATATGGGCATCACATCCACTGATCAGATATCCATCAAATCCTCAAAGGGAGCGCAAAGAATGCTGAACAGTCCGCCACTGATGAGCCCTCTGCTTAAAAACCCTGGATTTGCGGCAGACGCGAGCCGTTCACGCCTCCCTCCGCTTCTTCTTCTTCTCCTCCTCCTCCTCCTTCTACCTTCAGCTCTTTGTTCTAGAAGTGCATATTCAGACGGACGCGAACACGGATCCCCTTTCCACAAGTACCAAAGCCGCACCGTGCATCTATCTACCCAGAGAGGATCGCTGACGGAGAATGATCCATCAGCAGCGTGGCGCAGCGCAGCCGCTCAAGTGTGAGATCCACACACACACGGGTGGAGAGGAAGAGGGGTCCCATATTCATAAAGCCCGTGACGGACAGCTTAGGCAAAGTGTAAAGGTTTCCGAAGTTCCCTCTGTTCCCTCGGAACCTCGATGTGTCGGTGCGATGCCAGAGAGCGACCCTGTCAAGCGGCTCCGCGGCGATAAGTTGCGCCTTTGTGGTTTCAGGGCGCAGGTTCAGCTCGGCGGCGGGATGGAAAGACGTGCTCCACACTCAGCTACTCTCACACAGAGCTCTAATAGATGAGTTTAGCAACACGGTACCATATAGACTGGCAGTCCTTGCCCTGGGCGAGCCTCTCTGCATCGTCTCTGATCTGCAAGTGCACAAAATTGGTTCGACAAGAATGAGAAAGGAAGACAGACGTTTAGCTATCTTTAAAAGAAAAACAAGAATCTTAAGCTATTTGAATTATTTTTTTTTCCTCTTGCACAAATGTGCTCCACAAAGCACCAAAGCTCTACTTGAAACAGTGCAGAATATGTCAACTCATGTTCAGCTTTCAGGCTTGTATCAAATTAAGGTTTTCTTGTCAAATAATGAAATAATAGAACAGATGCTTTTTAAATCTCAACCTCTGTTCAGCACAGAATAATTGAGTTCAGGTTTGATCAGCTAGCTATGGCTTCAATTTAATTACCGTACTTTATTTCACTACTAAAGGTGATCAAAGTCCAAACTGGCAAAAAGGAATCTAAACATCAGTCGTCGTTTTCTTGTAGGCCAGAATCAGGAGTTGGCCATATTTCCAACACAGAGGGGTGGTGTCCAGACACTATTGGCTAGAAATTGCAAAAAGAGATATTATAAAAAACAAACAAACAAAAAAAAAAACTTGGTGTCTTGTTCTAGAGTGATGAGCAAGTATAGCAGAAGATGTATTTTATGTTCCTTCTGGCCTGCAAACACCCTGGGATCTTACAGAATCCCATAAAGCACGTTGCTGGATAGAGGGATGTTTAGGTTTTTGGATGGATGGATGGATGGATGGATGGATGGATGGATGGATGGAATCACAAGTTCTCTGGTGTGTTTGAAGACATTTGTGTTTCACTGTCAGTCAACCCAATTAAGTGTTTCTCACTAAACGCAGTCGATACCTCTACTGCCACCACTTGACAGCTTTTGATAAGGATTGCATTGTGGGCTTATTAGAGGTTGCATTGTGCAACAGCCTGGGGAGCACAGTTGTCACTGTGCCCTGATATTTGAAACAATAGATAATAAATGATGGCAGCTGCAAATATCCGGATGTTGTAAAGCGCGTGCACCTCAGCCGCTTTGATTTTTTTAAAACCAGGCCTTTCTTTGATATAAAAAAAAACAAAAAACAGCTATTTATCTAATTATTTTTAGCAATAAATGAGCAAAGAATTTCTTTTTGATTACATACCAGCATCTGTGTCTTAACTATGAGATTGTGCTTCAAACTCCTTTAAAGGAAATGACAGAATTTTTAATCCAGATCACCAAATCCACATGCAACATCTGTGTGCATATGATTAGGCTGCTTGAAACCATCAGTTACCTTTTGGCATGTTTTGCATACATTTATAAAGTACAAAAAAAATTGCTCTAGAACAAACATTTTAATTCACTCCAACATAATTTATTTCTTTACATCTGACCTTTTGCTCCCAGCCGGTGAGCAAAGTTCCCAACAGAGTCACGTTCGTGCAAACAGCGAACTCTGCAAACACACAATGAGTTTTTTTTTTTTTTTTCTTTTTTGGTTTAACAGCAAAAGTCGACATCAAACTGAGAAGAAAGCTATTCACTGCGGAGAACAAATGACCCAATTTCCGTTGGAGCGATGGCGTTTGGATGAGACCGCATGATCAGTGAATGATCGTCTGTCATGAATGCGTATTGAGCTTATATTGCTTATATGGGTGGAGGTGTTGGAAGCAGTGAACATTTTTTATAATGCTGTTTAGCTCTTATAAAAAAAACAATCAGAGTACATCAGCCGCAAGAGGGATGTAGACACGGTAGAAGATGATTTATGATCTCTCTCTGTTATGTGCAATTTAGCCAAGTCTCATTGTAAGTCATGAAACAGAAGCAGAACATAAGTTATTATATCCCTAAAAAAATGACATGGAACTTAATTTGTGTTTATTAGCAACTAAGTAAATTAAAGTTTATTTCACAAAGTGTTTCACATTAAAGTAAGTAATTGAAAGTGTAAAAAGTAACCAAAATCGAGGGAAATTGAAAGGGATCACCAAATCAACAGATGTCATTTTCAAGAACAGGGTTTCTATTGGCTAACGCTCCGTCTCCTTCAGGCTTCAGCCCTGTATCCATCAGGCTCTCATTGTAGGACCTTGACGACCTGCTGGTTACATAAGTGCGCAAAAGTCCATTTTTATGTACAGTAAGTTGGTGCTTGTCCGTGTAAAGCCAAATCAAAACCACAATCTTAGAGTGAACGTTCGGCAAAGTTGTTCCTCTTTTTCCACTTCTTTGCAACTGCACTCTCATCAGACACACACACATGCATACATAATGTGTGTGTTTCCCCAGATACAGGGTGGACGGTATCTCATGGGGAAATGCAAATCAAAGTAACAAATGTTTTCAGGTAGAACTTTTTTTTTTTTTACGCATGCACACTTGGTGTCAAAGAACCTACCACCAACTAGTGGCGTGACGAGGGCATTACACCTTTTCGATGTGTACCATCACTGTGTAAAAGATTGTAATTAGAATGTCTTCATGTAAATGTGTTAATAGAAAAGGGGGAAAAAAAAACATTTGTAAACAGGGCCTTAGAATTGTAGCCAATTTTAGTGTGCACACTGCTGTAGACGAAGTAACGGTGATGGTCAACATGCTACTTTAGTTAACCATAGCATTTTAGCTCATTCTGGACATTTTCATGACATGTAGTCAAGACTGAGACAAAGTATATTATGTTGTTTTAAGCTTTTCAGGCTCTGATGCTCAAAACTCGAGACCAACTGCAAAGCTCTCCATCAGAGCTGCAGAGTCAAGTCGGAGTTTACACACACTTTGCCAAGCCCCTTTTAAATGTCTGGAGCTGCTTAGGGCCACATGCACCGCGGTGGCTTTGACATGCTGATCTCTAACAAATGACATCGGATTTCACACTTACCACTCAATCATTTAAAATCTCTTTAGTGTTTACTCAGATGACCAATTTTAAAACTTTTTATTATTTTTAATTTTGAATAATTTAAGTTTTTAAAAAAAAATAGAAGCAAGAATAAGAGAAATGTTTAGTGAAGCAAACACTTTTTTCCACAGCCCTGACTGCTAAGCCTGCTTTGGGCTTCCAAAGTTTGGTGAAGTGATGAGACTGGATGGCAGCTGGAGTTCTGCGCCAAGAGCCAAAAAAAAAAAAAAAAAACACCACAACAACCCCATGGTGTCATCCAATTCTCACCTC